AATTGCTTACTTTTAAGAAATCGTCTTCTGTCACTGATATTTGCTTGCAGCCAAGGGGATGGTCCTGAGCACGCTGCGGCGAGGGGTCCCGGACCCCCCTGGACTGGCCCTGGGGGTACAGTAAAACACCGCAGAACTTGGCTTCGAGGATACGTGGTGCATGCACCGATCTCCGAGCTGTGGGGGGCGGGCGAACGACCTGCGTCGGCTTGCGCCATCGAGGTCGCGGGGCTTAGGCGCCGCCCCCCAGCTGTCGGGGGGCCTAACCCTTGAGTTTAGGATTCAAGGGTGAGGGCAGGACAACGAGAGTTGACGAGAGTTGGGCCACAACATTTTTCAATGCACTTGGTAAATTCTTAAGTTATGTGGCAAGTGTAAAGACAGGCAAACTAAATTTGATCTCACCATCCTATACAAACAATATGCTTAGCCTTACTTGGGCAGCAGCTCGGGTGTAGGGTCCATTCTGGCCAGTTCAGGGTGCCCACAAAGGTTTCCCCGCAATGCTAGGTTTGCACCTGGATAGGTGGCCAGCTACTTTACTGCCACGCCCAGCACAGCGCGGCGCCCGCCGAAGGTGAAGATGCCGCGGGGCGCCCAGGAGGATTCGAGGGCTCAGATCCTTAGGGTCTAAAGGGTGTTCTGGAGAGTCCAGTTCGTTTAGGATTGAGGCTCCTGTCTTGGAGGTTCATGGGTATTTAGCAGTACCCTAAATAGATGGTAACCGCAGCTACCCTACTTCTCACCTTACTTACAAGTACCCATTGAGGAGTAGGGTTCGAAGTACCCACCCCCTTCAAAGCCTTGGCAAGCTCCTTTTTTCAGGTCGGTGGCAGAGAAAGATGACTTTGCAGACCTGCCCCTGGCCTGTGAACGTCAGGGTTTCCAGTCTGGTTTAGGATTGAGGGGTTGTGAAAGACGTAACCCAATGCCTCATAGACGACTACACATATACATATATAGGGCTGCATGATAACCAGGACCCAGGGCAGGCCTTCAGTTTGTTTATTTGTTTTATTTGTTTTTTTAAGTTTTTTTTGGTGGGGGGAGGGAGGCAGCAGGAGCTAGGTTCCCTTGAAAACCCCCTTCCCTTAAACAACCTCAAGACCTAAACCCTGAACCCTGTTTATTCCCAGTTTGCCCCTGACACCCCAAAACCTCGGTGCTGGGCTTTTGCAACAAACAGCCCCCACGGTCCGTGTGTACCTAATGTATCTTGAAGCTTCCAACACCCCAAAACACCTCATATGCCTCCTAAACTTCTAAAGCCAAAACTTTATCCCTATAAAACCACCAGAAAACCAGCAGGCCCCGCTAAGTCTGTGGATGTCCCTCCATGTGGAGTGAAGCCTGTTGGCCCCTACTGAAATTGGGTTTAGGGCTTACCCAAACCCTGAACCCTAAACCCATGAACAACCCAAAGCCTAAACTCGAAACCCCGAACCCCCTAAATTCCTGAACTCGAAGCCTTATAAACCCCATAAACCCCATAAACCCTTCAAACCCCATAAACCTATAAACCTCATAAGCCCAGACGTCGTCGAATTCCCCCGCGAGGTTGGAGAAATCCCTAAACCCTCTAAACCCTAAACCCAAAGCCCTAACCCTGTAAACCCTGAAAACCCTACAAACCCTATAAACCCTATAATCCCTAAGCCCGATAAGCCCTATAATCCCTATAAACCCTTTAGATCCCTATAAACCCCATAAACCCTCTAACCCCAAGAAAAACCTCTTAAACCCACAATCCCTATAAACCCTCTAAACCCTCTAAACCCTATGAGCCCTATAAACCCCATAAACCCTGGAAGCCCTGTAAGCGCTATAAACCCTATAAATCCTATAAACCCTCTTTTAGCCCCATAAACCCTTTAAGCCCTATAAGCCCTATAAGCCCTATAAACCCTCTTTTAGCCCCATAAACCCTTTAAGCCCTATAAGCCCTGTAAGCCCTTTAAGCCCCATAAACCCTTTAAGCCCTATAAGCCCTTTAAGCCCTAGAAGCCCTGTAAGCCCGATAAGCCCTAGAAGCCCTGTAAGCCCTATAAGCCCTCTTTTAGCCCTATAAGCCCTATAAGCCCTATAAACCCTATTTTAACCCCATAAACCCTTTAAGCCCTAGAAGCCCTGTAAGCCCTCTAAGCCCTATAAACCCTCAAGTCGGCGAGGTTGGAGAAAGTTGGCGACGGCGGCAGGCCCGGGAGGCGCGCGGAGGGGTCTAAGGGGATTTCGGATGGAAATTCGTTTGGGGTTCGGGGTTTGGGGTTTAGGGTTTAGGGTTTGGGGTTTAGGGTTTCAGGGTTCTATGGGTTCTATGGGCTTAGGGTTGAGCAGGGTGCTATTGCAGGCACAGAGAAAAGGAAATGCGAGTTAGATAAAATCATGAGAGTTAAAAGACATGACAAGCGCCGAGTGCAGGGCTCCTGCGTTCCTGCCCAAAGGCTTTTCAAGTTTAGGGTTTCAGGGTTTCAGGGTTTAGGGTTTAGGGCTTTAGGGGCTTAGGGCTTAGGGCTTAGGGCTTAGGGCTTAGAGCTTAGGGCTTAAGGCTTAGGGCTTAGGGCTTCGGGTTTTAGGGGCTTAGGGCTTAGGGCTTAGGGCTTAGGGCTTAGGGCTTAGGGTTTTAGGGGCTAGGCCTGGGGGATCCTCTTTGAATGTGCACACCCTGAGTCCAGAGCCGGAGAGTATTCCCTGTTGTGGAGAAGGGGGGGGGGGGGGGGACATGCGCCCAGGCCAGGCAGCCAAAGGCAGGCCCCCTTTGTGTAAACCCTAAGCCCTAAGCCCTAAACCCTAAACCCTAAACCCGAAACCCCAATCCCTAAAACCCTAAACCCTAAAACCCTAAAACCCCCAGAGGGGTTTCCGAAGTTGGGGTACCTTCTTGGGGTCCCTGCTCATAGGGGAACCCTACCTTTTGGGGTACTTTACCGTATCTTTAGATCCTTAGCTTTTTTGGGCTTCTTGGGTTTCTTAATACCGCAGCTAAAGTTTAATTTGTAGCTACCCTACTCAGTGCAGCCAAGCCCTAAACCCTAAACCCTGAACCCTCAACCCTAAACCCTAAACCCTAAACCCTAAATCCCAACCCTAAACCCTAAATATTCTACCATTTGGGTTCTATTTTAGGGGTGCCCTATGTTCGCAAACCTCCGAGTAGCCTGTGACGGAGGCCAGTGGCCGCGGAAGCACTCCAGGCTGAGGATCGCCCAAGGGGCTTAGGGTTTAGGGTTAGGGTTTAGGGTTTAGGGTTTAGGGTTTAGGGTTTAGGGTTTCGGGTTTGGGGTTTAGGGTTTAGGGTTTAGGGTTTAGGGTTTAGGGTTTCCAGGCAGTGCTAGCATTATACTATTTCTCTTGGGCCCTCAAAACGCCGCGAATGAGACGCCAGAACCCTCCTGAGGAGGTACCAGTCCCTCTGTGGGAGGGTCCTTGGAGCCTTAAGGAAGGGCCGGGTTCAGGGTTTAGGGTTTAGGGTTTAGGGTTTAGGGTTTAGGGTTTAGGGTTTAGGGTTTAGGGTTTAGGGCTTAGGGTTTAGGGTTTAGGTTTCAGGGTTCAGGGTTTAAGGTTGAAGTTTTCAGGCTCATCTTCTGAAACCCTCAACCCTAGAGCTTGAACCCTACGAGGGTTTCGGGCTTAGGTTTTGTTTGTTTTGCGGGCTCAGACTTTCAATCTGGGGGCTTGGGTACAGTTTGTATTTTGGACTGCAAGCTTTAGGAGTTTAGGGTTTAGGAGTTTTGGGATTTAGCTTTCGGCCTTCAAGTTCCCATGTCTGGCACCTTTCCATCCCACGACTCACATTTGGCCTGCCGTACACCGGCAAGTTCTTTCAAAGCTCAGTCACACCGACGGTTGCGCTGCAAGGACAGGACCCCTTGGAGCTGGTCGACGCGAAGGCGCGCTAAAGGAGCGGAGCCGGAGCAAGGGGGAGCAGCTGGCAGAGCAGCTGCTCCAGTCGGAGGTGGAGAAGGCGAGGTTGCAGGAGCAGCTCAAGGTTCAGGGCGAGCTACACAAGCTCGGGCTCGCCCTGGGGTTTAGGGCTTAGGACTTGGGGCTCAGGACGTAAGGCTTAGGGCTTATAGGGCCTGTAAGGCCTATAGGGCCTGTAGGGCTTCTAGGGCCTATGGGACCTACAAGGCCTATAGGGCTTAAGGCTTACGGTCCTTGATCACCTTAAACCCTAAAACCTAAAACCCTAAACCCTGAACCCTAAACCCTAAACCCTAAACCCTAAACCCTAAAACCCTAAACCCTGAACCCTAAACCCTTTAAGTTTCCATGAAGCAAAGGAGCAGCGGCTGCTGGCGACCTTCACCACCGACCTGGACAAGATTCAGGAGCTGCGGTTTAGGGTTTAGGGTTTCGGGTATAGGGTTTAGGGTTTCGGGTGTAGGGTTTAGGGTTTAGGGTTTAGGGAGGGATTTAATTCGGCAGGCCTCGGGATACTTTACCTCTTCCCTGATTTGTCAAGGGCTGCTTTTTTTGTCAGAGGCCCCCGGGGGCCAAGCTAGCAAACCATTCTCTTGTTCCCTAAGCCCCAAACCCGAAACCCTCTTCTGGTGGCTTGGAGCAGACGGTCCCGTTTCCTTTGCAAACAGAGACAGCGTTGACACACCCCAAACCCCAAACCCCAAACCCCAAACCCCAAACCCCAAACTCCAACCCTAAACCCTAAACCTTTAACCTTTAAACCCTAAACCCCAAACCCCAAACCCTAAACCTAGAAGCCATACCCTTACTGCAGAGAGCACCGAACCCAAACCCGGCTATGATCTGTGCGCCCAAACGAACGTCACACGATCCTTCTAGGGACCTAATTCTTGTGTCCTTTGGGGTTCTTGTAACCTGGAGGGTTACTCGGAGGTTCAGAGGTACTTGTACCCCCAATTAGAAGCTCTGCTTGGAGGACTTAGGGGACTTCGGGGGCTTACAAGTACAGTTAGAATTCGTGAGTAGATCCTTAGAGGCGGGATCATGTTTCAACACCTGGGCGCCGCCGACCGCCCAAGATGGAGGCTGGCGGAGGCGACGCGGCCGTTCAGGAGTCCGTATGTCAGCAGCCAGAAGACCTGCAACTAGGTAGGCCCCTGGAACATTTTTTATTTTCCCTAATTGGGGCTTAAGAGGATCATATTCAGGAATATTTTTCAGAGGGTTTCAAAGGCCATCCTAGGCAAGTTTACATGGCTTCCGGTGCAAAAGTCCTTGAAATGCAGTTCGTCGAGTTCGTGGAGATGTGCCGCGCCCGGCGTGTTGAACAAACTGCCTTGGAACTCAAGCGTTGCCTACAGCGCCGGCGCGGGCTGTCAAGGTTTCGGCAGCAGCTGATAGGCCCGGATGGCGAGATCTTGCACCCTGATCTGCCAGCTGGACTCTTTTTTTTTCCGATTTTTGCGGGGTTGTAGGTTCCTTATCAAACTAGGGTTTAGGGTTTTAGGGTTTAGGGATACCTAATTACAACAAATTGAGAGCCGTTTTCTTCATGGGTTGCTGGGGAAGCCAGGCAGAACGGTGCCAGGTTGGACGGGCCAATGGACATCCAGCTTGCTACTTTGTGGTGCTTTACTGTAACTTTAGATCCTTAGCTTTTTTGGGTTTATTGGGTTTCCTTATAATAATAATAATAAGGCAGCTAAAAGTTTAATTTTTTGCTATCCTCCTAAGTGCAGCCAAGGCTCTGTGGTCGTTTGAAGAGAGCTCCGGGGAGCAGATCCACCAGCTCTGTGAGCTTGCCACTTGTTGTAGCCCAGCTTGGTACCCCTTTTTCCCTTTTTTTGGGGGGTTCAAGGGCTCCCTTATAAAAAGTGACCAACCCCCAAAAAAGGGGTGCCCTTGTCATAAGATGGTTTTACTGGGCTACCAAGGCCATATATGCCAATTCTCGTGGGGTAGAAGAACTCTTGAGCAAACCGTTGGATCCCAATTTGACATCGGAGTTCCATGGGGCGAGTGCGCTGGCCTGCGCATGCAATCGTCCTAACAGCCGCAAGGTTGTGGATCTGCTGCTGGAGGCCTTGGCTGACCCGAACACCCTTGACGGTCAAGACAGAACTCCCATGTTTATCGCAGTGACTTAGTGGCTGAGTGAGTGCACTTTACACTTTTTGGGATACTATAATCCCCTGTAGAACTGAAAGTGTACACTTTTTGGCAGCTTATTATGAACGCAGCAACTATAAGGTGATGATGAGAGACACGGGAACCATCGTGAAGTTGTTGGGGGCCAAGGCTGACCCGGACAAGACGTCGTTCAACACCGGCTGCAGACCGCCTCGCCGCACTCCGTTGCTGTTGGCTGCCTCTAGGATGCCCAGTAGTGCCCTTTTTTGGGGGTTAGGTTCCCTTACAAACCCCTTTAAACAAAAAAGGGTACCATTTTTAATCCTGGGTTACTGAGCATCCTAGGCTTCAATGGGCTCCGCGTACGTAGTTCGCCTGCTGCTGGAGGCGAAGGCTGACAAAGACAAGCCAGAGACCTCGGGAAGCACCCCCATTTCGGTTGCCCGTGAGAAGGGGCATGCGAAAGTGGTCCAGCTACTGCAATGATGCCTGCGTTGTGTAGCCAGGGTCAGTGAGTTTTTCAGCTTCATCACATCCGAGCCCTTCGTTTCACCACCGAGCTTTGCGTGCGGTCTCTTGGCTTCGGGGTTGTGCGGGGACATGTAGGGGTGTAGGGGGAGGGATCGGGGCTTTGCAACTCCAATCGGCCGGCAAAACCCTTATCGTAGTACGGGGTGTCACCGTCGGCAAGATAGCAGCGCCCCTGAGACACCAAATATAGATCAATCCCCTATAAGGAACACCCCCGCCCATGGTGTTTGGCACTGGTGGAACCTTGGTGTAGTTAGAACCCTACTTACAACCCTTTCACAGGCACCATGAGAACCTTGGTGTAGTCGTAGCCCTTCTTGCAACCCTTCATAAAGCCTTACTTCTGACCCTACTTAGATCTTAAACCCTAAACCCGAAGCCCTAAGTCCTAAACCCTAAACCCTACTTCTTAAGCTGCCCGTGAACCTTCACGCAACGACTGGGCACTGGCTCAGTCACCAATCATGGGCGCATCTAAGAACTTGATCACAGGGCCCAAAATTTCTAAACCTAGTGGTAGAGTAGACAACCTTTAACCATTTTGGTTGGGTATGAAAATCCCTATAGCATCAGCATCCCAGAGGTTAACCCTCACTGATACTGGACAACTGGGAAGAGAGCTTCTGGAATGTGTCTGCACGATGAACCGATGAACCCCTTCAGCCCTCTAAACCCTAAACCCTGAACTGGCTCTAAACCCTAAACCCTAGACCCTAGACCCTAAACCCTAAACCCTAAACCCCAAACCCCAAACCCTAAACCCTAAACCCTAAACCCCAAGACATCCGAAGCCTTCCGCAACATGTGGAGATTCCGAAGTTGCGCAGCGGGATCTGGAGTTTGGAGCTTGGGGTTTTAGGGTTTAGGGTTTAGGGTTTAGTTATTTTAGCATGCGGCGGTGTAACCGTACCTGGTTTCTGCTACTTTTCTTGGGGGGGGGGGGGGGTTGGGGGGGGGGGATAAGAACGTCATTCATACTGCATGCATGCCCAACACACTGGTATTTACAGCGTTTTCGCCTCTTTGTACAACATACTGCACAAGGATGTGGACGAAGAAAATCTGTCGCAAGCGTCCAGCCAGTCGAGACCATGCCCAACACACCTCCCACAAAAATCGTCAAAGTCCTGAAATTTGGCAGATGCATTTTCGGAAATGCAAGCCTCAAAAAATATGGCTGCAGAGGCTGTCTTGGCAGGAATGCATGGAAACATCGCAAATTACAGTGTTTTCCGCGCCTGCACACAGCACAGCTGTGAGACTCGCGTCACGACTGCACACACAGCAAAGGAAAAGTCCCAGAGCGCTCAAGGCCCCAACAACAAAACGACCCGAAAATCTTGCAAAAACCCAACGTTTCGCAAAAACGAATTCCGAAATAACGCCTTTCTAAAACCTCCCAAAATCGCCTGTCGCCTAGGCGAAACGCTAACTTTCACGAAAAATAGGGTACGGTTTCCACGGCGGGGGGTTATTTTAGTATCCTAGGGGACCGGGAGTAGACCCTTTTTTCCTTTTTTAGGGTTGGGGGTTCCCTTATAATCCCCTTTAAACCAAAAAGGGTACCCTTTTATTCCTAGGTTACTCCCGGGTCTGGGGTTGTAGGGATTTCAGTATCCTCCAAAAAGCAGGACCTCTACCAAACCCTTAACGGGGGGGGGGGCCCATGGCTTGCGAGCTCCACCGCCCTGCTTGTCGCAACTGCATGAAGGGTTCTGGTGAACGGTCTGGACTTACGGAAGCCCCTACGCCCTACAGGCCCCACAAATCCGCAACCCTAAACCCTAAACCCTAAACCCTAAACCCTAAACCCTAAACCCTAAACCCTAACCCCCAAACCTTAAAAGTGCATCCCCCAGGCCCAATTCAACCCTTGAGCTCCCGGACCATTACCAGCTTTCAAGCTCCCCCAAAAAACTCCTGAAATGCCTCCAATGCCCCTAAGCCCTGTCGACCCTAATCCCCTCAACCCTAAACCCTGAACCCCCTCAAACCTAAACACTTCAAGCCGAAACCCCTCAACCCTAAACCCTGAACCCCTCAAGCCTAAACCCCGAAACCCGAAACCCCTCAAACCTTTGTAAGCAGGGTTACAAGGACTGTAGCTACGGTTCTAGCCTTCTTTGGGGCCCAAACCCTAAACCCTAAACCCTAAACCCTAAACCCTAAACCCTAAACCCTAAACCCCTCAAACCCCCCCCTTTAAGGGGCCCTGAGGAGACCAGGACGAAGATCGAAGAGGTCTCGACCATGGTCGGCCTCTTCGCCACCAAGGCTGGGTTTAGGGTTTAGGGTTTAGGGTTTGGGGTTTAGGGTTTGGGGTTTAGGGTTTAGGGTTTATAGGGTTTATAGGGTTTAGGGTTTCGGGTTTCGGGTTTAGGGTTTAGGGTTTAGGGTTTAGGGCCGAGGGTTTGGGGGTTTAGTGTTTCGGATTTGGGGTTTAGGGTTTAGGTTAGTGGGTGAGTACGGTTTAGGGCTGAGGTTGAAGGTTTTGGGTTTCAGGTTATTGGAAGTCTTTGGGATGAGGGGTTCCAGGGCTCCTCTATAGTATAGGGCTGTTAAGGGCAGATGCCCTCGCTCGCAAGCTGCGAGAGGGTGGAGGACCTCTCTGCCGAACACATTCTTGTTGATGTGGTGGTTGCCGGCGTGGTTTTAGGGTACTTATATACTTATAACCCTGCTTCTAAGTACACCTTCAAGTAGCGAACCGTAAACCCTAAACCCTAAGCCCTAGACCCTAGACCCTATAACCCCTAAGAAGCAAGCAATGCACCGCAGGCCCGAGCAACGAAGCCTGTGCGGTCCCTTGTCGTCGCCAGGTTGCAGAGCAGACGGAGCAAACGGCAATGGCCTCATGTTCCACCCGTCTGGGCTCAGGGTTTAGGGGTTTAGGGGTTAAGGGTTCAGGGTTTAGGGTTTATTGGGTTTAGGGCTTAGCACTCTCAGATCCTTAGTTGCAACCGAAACCCTGAACCTCAAGCTCCCAACCCTGAACCCTAAGTTCTACAACCCCCAGGCCCTAACCAGTGACCATTGACGCTATAGGTGCCATGCAGGGGCTACCCTCTAAGAATTTAGGGTTCAGGGTTTAGGGATACGGTGGATCTACGTGAATCCGAACTTTTGGGTTTCATCCCCACAGGAGATGGGGTAACCACGGGCTCCTCATGGGATATAGTGCCCTGAGATAGCCGCAGGGCCCATGATTCAAAACAGACTTACCCTAAAACCTAAACCCTAAACCCTAAACCCTAAACCCTCAACCCTAAACCCTAAACCCTGGACTTGACATGAGCCCTCGACGCGAGAGCCAAGTAAACAGTCATTGTGCTTCGGGATGCTTACTGGGTAGGGCCCTTGGGATGTTAGGGCATGTATATAGGGAATTCTCTAGATTGGGGTCCCTTTGTGGGGTCCCTGTTAGAACCCAAACTGCGAGAGCTACCCATATCCGCTTTCGCAGGAGCTTCGTGAGGAATACATCTCAGAGGATTTGTCAGGGCCAACCGAGTTGATTAGGGGGTATAAGGAGGGACCCTCGAAGGGCCCTTAATCTTATTCCCCGATATAACCCTATGTAGACTTGATATAGCCCTATATACCAGAGTAGCCTTTACAATACCCGTGAGGTTAACCCTAAACCCGAAACCCTAAAGCCTAAACCCTCCGTTTACCCCCAAGATCCCTTAGAAGGGCCCCTCCATTAGGCTCTTGAGTTGAGACTCTCTGACCATGTGAGGATGAGATCTACGACCTTACGGAGGAGAGTGCTGGCCTCAGGGTTGAGGGTTTGGGGATTAAGGTTCAGGGATTTGGGGTTAGGGTGTAGGGTTTAGGGATTAGGGTTTAGGGTTCAGGGATTAGGGGCTTTTGCTCGTGTCTGGCTGTAGCCCCAGCTTGCTTTGGGCGGCTCTTCTATTGGGGCTTTTGGCCTGAAAACCTAAAGCCGAAAGTCTGTGTCTTGCTTGGCGTTTCATGGGTAGTGACAAGTGGGTTTGCGAGTACTGCGAACTGGTTGTGATTATAGAAATCAATAGGCCGAGCATTTTGGGCGCACTGGCGCACGTGGGCTTTGTCGCATCATGCTGAAGACCAAGTACACTTGAAGGCTCATGAATACGTATAAGCAGGTCATAAGTACTCTGAAGAAGTCTGTAACCATAGCCCACCTAGCCACCGCAAGGGAAGGGCCCGTAAACTCTTAGCCCTACTTGGAGGTTCATGGGCGTACGAATAGTAGGTTCACAAGTAAGGGTGGCCATGGTTATAACCTTATTGAGGGTACGTACTTATGACCCTATTTACAAGTAATTGTCCATAAACCCGAAAAGACCTAGCCCTAAACCCTAAACCCTAAACCCTAAACCTTAACCCTTAACCCTTAACCCTAAACCCTAAACCCTAAACCCTAAACCCTAAACCCTAAACCCTAAACCCCAATTCAAGCATAAGCCCCAAGCCGCCGGCCCGCGCAACAAAGCGCGCGACCCAGGCACGGCCTACGTCGAGTCGGCGCAGCAGCATCTTGAACGGGTGGGGCTGTCCGCAGCGCCCCGGAAGCCCTGCAACAAAGCCTAAGCTAGGATTCGGACGTTCAGGGTTTAGGGTTTAGGGTTCAGGGTTTAGGGTTTAGGGTTTAGGGTGTAGAGATGAGGGTTTCGAGATATGGGTTGAGGGTTTGAGGTTTGGGGTTTATCGCTTTGGGGTCTAGATGTTCCTCGGCGAGGAAGACATGATGGAAAGTAAGGGGTAGCAACTGAAGTTTGGGTCCAGCGTTTAGGGTTTCTCGGTACTCCTGAAGCTGTAGTACAGTACTCCTGTTGGGGTGGTATACTTTATAAGTATAACCCTGCTATCACCGCAGGGCTCCACTGAAAGCCTCCAGCCCATCGCCTCGTACCCCCGACCCCGCACCCACAGCCTCCCCTCAAGGGTTTAGGGTTTAGGGTTTGGGG